GGGAAAGAGCCAGGCTGTGATATCCTGCAGCAGAGCAGGAAGGGCTGGACTGACCTCACCAGAAATGTCTGCCCAACACCAGGAGGACGGCGCCAGGTAATTACTCAAGCACGGAGCATTTATCAGCACTTGCTCTGAAACATGCTCTTCTGGCCGTAGAAGTGCTACATTTATTTCTCAACATGTCATTCCCATTCTGGTCTTTTCTCCTCTTTCCTTTTCCCACGTCAGACACATCCAGTGTCGTATGGTACAGAGATCTCCAAGTGAGTCACAGGAGCTATCAAGCACAGCAGCCAGCTGCAGCCCAGCCATAACCTTTCCCTCCCAAAGTCCCTACTTTGTATCCAGGACTCAAATTGGATAAGGCCAGACAGAGCCTTCAAATGTTCTCCTCTCCCTCAATTTAAGTCTCCAGTTCTCAGACAGGATGGAAAAATCCTGCCACCTCTTCCCTCCACAGCCTGAATATATTTCTTTGCTATGATTCACAAGCTGAGAGAGATTTTCCAGCTCTTGACATTGCAGGGGGAAGTGGGAGCTTGGAGCTTGGTCATCCTCATGACACTTGCAGGACAAGAAGGTGGAAAAGGCCAGGATTTCCCTGGGCTCAGAGCAGGGTGCCCTGATTTATCCCATGCAGGAAAGCAGGGTTTTGAGAGAAGCTGACACTTGCTGAATTTCTCCTCCTGGAAATATGCTTGAAATGACCCTCCATGAAACACAGAAGATTGCCCAAAGATAAAGTATCTGAAGCTCTATCTGCTCAGGGATTTAGCAAAACTACTCCAAGTACAAAGACCACAGCAGGGCTGTGTGCCTGGAGTCAGGTAGCAGCACAGGGCTGCACCCCCTGCCCTGGGCAGCAGCTTCACCTCTCCCAGAGATGGGAGATAGAACAAACACAGCCCCCAGTGACCCCTCATCCAAACCACAAGGAAAGAAATCACCCCACTGCTTTGAACTGGGACAGGTGGGACATGCAAACCCTGAAGATAAACACCCACTGAGGGCTTAGCTAAACACAACCATTTCTCTTTAGGTGATACTTGCAACAATGAGCAGCACATCTGCATAAGTGCTGTTGATTGTGTTCCTTAAGTTAGCTCAGTATTTCCACTATAAACCCTCTTTCACCATTTTAAGCAGTCAGCTGTAAAAATTTGCTCTAGGCTGGAACTTGGCAGCTACAAACTCTGTCTGGGAGAAACCTATTTTACATGTACAGCCCCTCTGTCCTGTACAGGATCCAGCAAAACACTTGGGCTGAAACATCAAATCCTCCTGCAAGTTTTTCAGTGTAAAGGTCCTGTTTGCATTCTTGCATTTGAGAAAACCCCAACAACCAGCAGATAATTAGTGTGTCCTGACTGCTTTTAGCATTACAAACTGTGTGTATACTTGTACATGGCCAAGATATACACCCTGAGAGTGGTTATTGTGTGTGGAATGCAGCAGTTACATTTATAAAGGAAACTCTTTGCACGCTTTAAGTGTGGGCTCTGAGAAATTTAAGAAATAATACTTGACTTATACCATAAAAACAGAGGGGAGTTTGTTTAAAAAGATAAGTCCTGAAGCAATCACTGTACTTGTGTTTGCTGAAATAGGACACTTTTCTGGCAATCTGAATTTCATGTACCAAACATATTAAAAGAAACTAAGAAATAGTCCATTTGTGGTGCATTTTTGAGGCACCTGGGCTTTCTCTGGTAGGTGACTGGCAGCTCTGCCCTCTTGGCCCTGAGTAAAACAAGGGCTGTGAAACAGATCCCCAGCCTGGCCATCAAATTTTAAACTAGCAATTTGTAGGAAGGAAAGTGGGATTTGGTTTTTACTTTCTCTTGAATCTACCATTGAGCAGCAACTTGAATCACAAACTTCCAAGGGACATCCAGCACTCAGGTTTACCCTGAGATAGATGCAAGAATTGTGATCATCAGAAGTGCAATAGTGCTTGGCTGCCATTTCCAGTTGTCCCAGCCCAGTAAGCTTTACAGAAACCCTTGCAGGTTATGGTCTGCCAGCCACCTAGCAGATCTATGACTGGGAAGAGTCAGCACCAAGGGCTTGAACTTACCTGAGGTCCTTGCTCTCCTTTCATGCCTGGATATCCCAGTAAAAATGGAAATGGAGTGGGTCCAAGGGGGTCAAAGATTTGATAGCCATCAGTTGCAGCTGGGGTTGTGAGGTTGAAGGTCTGTGCTCTGGCTCTGGAGGCAGGACGGGCAGAGCCCAGGGGCAGTTTGGTGTACACCAGAGGGACATCACTGAGATCCACTTTCCTGGTAGGGGACAACACATATTTCTTTGGAACTGGCCCATTGCTTGGGTTCTGTGTGGTTTGCTTCAGGGTGATGAAATGGACACTGCTGGTTGTGTTATCAGTCATCCTCCTCATTGGCTTTACAGTGCTGGCTGCTGCAGAGGGCTCAGCCGTAGGTTTTTGGTTGATCTTCTTTTTGGTCTCTTGCTTGGACTCCTTCCTGCTGGCCAAGGCAGGGCTCTGGCTGGTTGGTGAGGCCTTTTTGAAAGTGGGAAGGGGAGTTACCTCCTTGCGTGTGCTGGGAGTGGGCTGAGACACCCTGAGGGGGGTCCCCGTCCCCCAAGGGAGCAGCCGGGCGGGTGGTTGTGTGGCAGTACTGGGTGGGACAGGAGGTGGGGTCACTGGGACCTTTGTGGCTTTGGGTGTCAGTCTTGGCAGGGATGGTGGGGTTGATACCGACCTGACGGTTGTTGCACCCGAACCCCGAGTCTTCAGGGGTGCAGTGACCCTGCCAAACTCCAAGGATGGGGCAGCAGTGGTCAAGTTTCTCAGCCCCTGCAGGGAGGGCGCCATATGCTGTGGGGTACCTGGGGAGGTGTGGGGATCCCTGGGCAGGAGGGGGAGCAGGGGGGGCAGGTTTGGCCGGTAGGTGTCTGCCTGCCTGCACTGCTTTTTCAGGTATTTACAGTAATGATGAGCTGCCTTGGCGGAGGGATAAATATCAAACTGGCAGATGGCTCCTTCAAACTGCACGGAGTGCTGGTTCATCTTCCCAAAGAGGAAAGACCCATTCGGATCCAACGCCTCGTCCTTTTTAAAATGCAAATCCGCGTGCGCCCTGCGCTTCCCGCAGGCAGAGAATAAAGTGACTGTCTGCCCACGGAGCTCAATGGCCACGTTGTGCCACTGCCCATCGTGGACATTGTAATCAAAATAGACAGAGCGCTTGTGGCCCACGTACACGATGATCTTCCCAGGCACAAACTGGACTCCCAGCTGCAGTTTCTTCTTCTTGCTCTTGACGGCAAAGAGGAAAGCGTTGTTGATGCGGTGGGAGCAGAAGCTCAGCACCAGCAGCAGGTCGGTGCTGGAGCCTGTGGGGAGGATGGTGCTGAGAGGAGCTTCCACACGTGCTCGCTGAGTGAAGATGACCCCTGATTTGAAAGGAATGACCCCTTGAGGAACTGCACGTGATGAGGACCATCCACTCGATGGCCTTTTCCCTGACAGGCCCAGTCTTTGAAGAACATCCACATCTGGAAGGGGAACACAAAGGAAATGTGAGGTGTTGGGAAACCCAAGGGCTGGATGGGTGTGGGGGTCAAGCCAGTCCATGCCAAAGGGTTAACAGGATAAAGGAAACCCCAACCATCCATCCTCTCACATGTACACATTCATACAAGCAGAAAGGAGAGCACATAGCTCTTCCACACAGTGTAAGGAGCAAGTGCATGCTCAGCTTGGTCACCAGCAAAACACATCAGCTCCATGGTACATCTGGCTAGTGGTCCTGTCCTGCCACCAACCAGCTCCACATGTTCTGAAGGGAGCTGACCTCACCACAAGGAAATCTCCCACTTTGCACCAATAGCCCACTTCTCTGGGATTTAATTCTGGGTACTGACCACACAGCTGGAAAGGAATTTGAACAACAGACTGAGCTGGGATTGCAAAATTTTATATCCCCAGAAGGCAAGGAAGAGAACTTTCAAAGGGAGCAAGAGCCTTGTATCCGTCCCTCCCCAAATTAGTGAGAAACAGCTTTTGATCTTTGAGACTCTGGAGAACTTAAGGAAGAAAAGGTGCCTCCCAGCATGAATAAAACTGCACCTAGATTTCACCAAACTGCTCAAGGTTCTGAACAGCAGTGCTTTTCCCCAAAAATATCATCTTTCAGCCTTAAATTGTGTAAATAAGTTGGAAGAAACAGACTTGGTTTGTGAAGAGCTGAAAGGCTGGTGACGGCTGCCACTGAGCAGTAGGGGCAGGACTTGCATTTGTCACCCAGAAGCTGGGTGCCTTGTTCAAGAGGTGACGAGAGGGATTGCTGTCCTGAGTGACCTGGCTTTCTCCACTGACTCCAGAAGTCTACAGTGGACAGACAAGCAGAATCCTCTGGTTTCTGTCCCCAGGGTCTAACAGGAGTCACGTACAGCTCAGAGTCCAAGGCAGATGAACACTTAACAACAACACAAACCAGAGCCAGCTGGTGGTGGTCTCAGCTGAACTACTTAACTGGGGAAGGTGCTGAGATCTGGTGAGAAAATCTGCAAAAGTAAATGTGCTCAGACCTGAAAAAAGGTGCTCATACACCCAAAAACTTGTTCTCTTCCTCCAGCTTGAACATTTGGCCCAATAAAAGATGTTACCTACATGGCATAGACAGCTAAAGGGCTACAGTGATGGGCATGACACTGCCACTGCTGAAAATGAGCTGGGATCGTGGTATTTCCTTCCCCCTTTCCTGCCCAAACACAATCCCCATTACTTGCTGACCAGCTAACTCTTGCAGTTAAATGCTCTTTGGGGAAACCAGGCTGAGCTGGGTAATCCAAGTGTTGATCTCACGAGGTAAGAGTTTAACAATCAGAAATGTGACAGTGCCAATCACAGCTGCATGTCAGCCAGCACCAGGGGCTGCAGCTTTCCTAGATGAAAGGAAAAGTTAATCAAAAGGTGTAAAAAAGTTAAATAATTCCTTTTCTAAGGGGCCTTAGAATTTAGCCTCTTTCAGCCTTAACTGGTAAATGTTCAGCACAATACCCAATATTTGGAAACCTGGCACTGAAGAGATCCTCATTGTTGGCCAGAAGGGTTGTGACTCCAGCCAGTCTGAGGCTTGTAATGTTGGTGCCCAGGAAGGGAGGAGGATAAGGAGAAAACCTCTGTTCCTGGACTTTGGCAAAATCCTTGGCCATTTTTACATGCAAGAACAGGTCAGTCAATATTTACTTTGCCTGAGCTCAACTTTCTTCCCACCTTCACTTTTCAAGGCAGCTGGACTCCTTTTGTAGCAGAGACTACCCTGGAGAAGACATGCCAGATGTGACAGGGGGTGGAGACTTTCCCACTTGATGCAGAGGGGTTAATTTACTGCACAGCACCTGCAATGTTAATGGTACCTCTCCCACACTAACAAGTCCTTGGTCCCCCACTGGTTTTCTGCCACATTGCCCAAGGGGCTGTCCCCCTCTGTACTGGATGGAGGAATCACAGCAGCGTCACCCACAGGATCATCTCCAGAGCCCATGAAATAGTAAAAGCCAAAGCCTGGCTCTAGCAAAGTCAAGTGGGACCCTTGCCACTGACTTCAAAGGCATCAGGATTTAGCCCTAAGGAAATAAATTTACCACTTAAACTTGGAGCTAGACTCCAGCTTCCAATTTCTACAAGTATTTTTAGGTTCTCTCCCAGAGACAGACAGTGGTGTCTCTACAAGGCACAGATGCTTTATCCTCCAGAAGCTCTTTATTCAGTAGCTGCTCTGCAAAGACTAAGGATGTTTCTCTGCTCTGCTGCTGTTTGTGATGCCAATCCAACTGCCTCATTAGCAACTGCATTCAGCAGTGCTTAAGAGAAGGGGAAAAAGCACTTTGGTAGAGCCAAATTCTAGATGCCTACACAAAACCTGATTAAAACAGACCTCATGCAGGAGATGTACGTGGACTTTCCAGCACCAGGTCCAGGCACAGAGCTCAGGACTCCTATGCACCCAGCCTGTCTGCCTCTCCATTCCATGCTGACTGCCCAGGGCTGGTGGAGCACATCCCCTGGGATGACAGGATGTCATCAACTAATGTAAAATGCAAGGTAATTTTGGCTTCCCTAAGTAGCTCCAAGTTTAACAAAGCATTTTTTCCTGTTCATGTTTTTTTCCTCTGTAGGTTTTTCCATCAAAACACATTATTTAAAAAAACATTCACTTAAGAGCTGCCTGGTCCCAGGTGCCTTGAAGCAACAAAGCAACATTTAAGCAACTGGGAAAAAATTCTAGCAGACTCTTCACATGAAATAAAATGCACAGAAGCTCCTGAACAGTCACATTATCATCTCTGAAAGAGGGGAGAAAATTATTTCTTGCTCTCCTTCCCTTCTCCTCCTTTCTCTCTTGCTTTCCCCTCACAAAAAAAAATACTTCATAAGAAAAAGAAGCCAAAAGGCAGGAGAGAAATAACTTGCAGCTTCCTAAATTCCAGTAGCTGGGATGTGATGCCACAGCTAAACATGGGCTGAAAAAATGCTACATTTCCAAAAGTTACTGCCCAGACCTTTAGTCAGTGCACAGCAGATGAACTCACTAACCTCGTGATCTTTTAGATTTGTAACACTTATGGAATAATCATCCTCTGCATTCCCTGATTTTCCAGTGTGCAGGAAGAGCCCAAAGCCTTACAGCAATAACTGCAGTGTTTTCAAAAGCCCACAGCATTGGCTTAATTTCATCCTCACACAGATTTAGGAACAAGCTCTTATTTGCTTTTATAAACCTCATGATGTTTGAAAATCCTGAGCGATAACAGTCTCAGGTCACCAATGTTTCCTCACAGCCTTTGCTTCCTTGGAAGTTTTTACTTTCTGGCACCCAGAGGAGCAGCCTGAGTCTGATTGTGGGGAAACCAAGTGAGATTTTTGAAATTCCTTTATCACAGAGGAAGTATCTCAGAGGGGAGTTACCTACCACACTAAGGTTGCCTTCAGGTTGATGGCAATGACCAAAAGACATGGCACCATCCCATAATTATCACGGGAGTAAACTGATGGACACAGATGAATCTAAACAGCATATTCAAGCCTACTTGAAAAAAGAGCAGCCAAGACAGAGTATTTGTTCTGCCTCTTTACGAGCTGACATAAAACTTGTTCTGAAAACTGTTTGACTGAGTGATCCAGCCAGATGTTCACCTCTTCTGCATTGAAGCTGGATTTGGAAAATCTGACATTTTTCAAAACTGCTGATGGCAGGGATGTATTTAAGGTTTTCCCCCCATCTGTAAAAAGTGCTCCACGGGCTGGCTCACAGCTGAGCATTGACCAACTTTCTATTTTTCCTTCATGTTTTGGAGACCAAGAGGAGGGCCCTGGAGCCTGCTAGTCCACTTATTGCTGCCTGCTGCCTGCAGAGGAAGCTGCTCAGTTCCAGCATGTACCCCTGTAAAACATCCATGTGGAAGAGGTGTTGCTATTTTAGGAGGAGTTGGCTCCTTTACACACAGATGTTGCAGAGATGCTCAGCTCCTACTATCAACTGTAAAATGTGAATTTATTTTTATTTTGCTTGACTCTGAAGGATTCTGTCTCCTCTTGTGGGGTCATTGATTATTGTTCCCAAACTTTGGCCCTGGCCCCAGCAGCACTGGGAGGGGGTGTCTGGAGAAGAGGTGTAAGGATGAGGTGAATGTGCAGGGTGACTCCTCTACAGAATATACATCCCCTGCAGCACAGGGCCTGAGTTAGGCACAGTAACTCCACTACCAACCACCCCTGTGGGCTTTTTCTTCCTTCAATTTGCTTTTGCTTTCAGAACTCACATAATTTCTGTATGCATTACATCCCATGTGCCTGCAGAGCCATGACTGGGTTGCATTCAAGTCGAGGACAAACCTGTCTGCCAGAGACACTTAATTCCTTAATGCCCCATCCTCAAGGGGCAATTTCTGAAAGCAATTAAGTACTAGCAAGTGCAGGTAGATGCCAGTGACATTTTAGACACACCAAAGTGCTTCTTTCCCATCAGTTCCACCAGAGAGGCAGGCACTTCTGAAAATCCTGAGAGGGTCATAATCACCTGTGAAAAACTGGCTTCTTTGCTAGCTGTTAACTGCATAATCTATAGCACCAGTGCTGCAATGATCAGCAAGAAATGCATTTAATTCTGTGCACAAGGCTCAGACATCATTAAATGATAGTCCTAAACTGGTACCTGAGACTTGGCTTTTACTTTGGTTGAAAGAAGAGAGGAAAAAAACAAAGAAACGAAGTAATTCACCTTCAGAATTTCCCTGTGTGAATCCCAGGAACCAGGTAAAACACACTACAGTCCAGAGAAAGCAGAATCCCCTAAAAGTGAAAGAGAAAAAATAAAAATTAAATTAGTTTCTACAACATTAGTAACAGAAACTAGCTGCCTGGTTCAGGGTCTTCTCCTTGATCACAAGTCAAGTCAGTGGTGCTGTCCACATGTCCCTGGGAAGTGGAGAACAGGCACCAGCAGAACTGCACCTGCTTCCAACTGAGATCTTGTTTTGCTACTTTAAAGTCACCTAAAGGTTTTCCCATTGGGGTTAGAGGGGTTAGAGCAATGTTTTGAGATGCAGGGTTACCAGTGCCAGGTCAGCAGTCCCTTCTCTACCCCTGCTCTTTGGCACTTGTCTCGCACCAGGAATCCAAGAGGATGGAGAAATAATTCCAAACTGGGAGGTCAAAATACCTGCCAGGAGTTTCTGTCTGTGGGGACTTGGGAAGAAAACAGACAGACACGCAGTGACATGTCACCTGCATCTCAGCAAACAAGCTGAGTCTCCTATTCCTGCACTACATGCTGTAATATATCCTGAACATACAGAATCCCACATGGATCGATTCCTCTTTTTACCCCCAGCTGCAAAGATGGGGGCAGCTTCTAACCACTCAGCATCCTCTGCTCTTGATGTCTTTCTCAGTAGTTTCATATGGCAGGAAATTTTAGAAAGTGTGAGAACTGCAGACTCCCAAGTGCTTGCAGACCTGTAAGTTAGCTAAACTGAGCCTTGAAGTCCCAGCAGAGAGGAAAACCTACCAGAAAGGTGGCTGAGGCTGCCCCCCTCCCCCTACCAACTTCACTGATTCGTAGCCAAATAATGAACATAGGAAACTCTTTGGTTAAGCTGACTTAAAACTGCCAGTGGAAAGTCTGAAGATTGAATTTCCTCATCTTCTAGAGATGATATTTAACAGCTTGACCAGCAAGGGCTGCTGGAGGAACAAAAATGTAAACTACAGAAAGTCCTCAGCCAGGAGAAAGCAGTATGGGACATCCACAGGTTGTTCTTCATTTCAGCCAAGCCAGTGTGAACACTGGGATATGCAAAGCAAGGCCAGAGTGTAGCTTTCTCTTCTCTCCAGACCTGGCAGAGACAAATCATTTATCAAATGGGATTAGGGACCACTCTTCTCCTGCCATCAAGTCTCAAGTTTAGCTCAAGAAAACGTCCTCGGAGACAATGTATTACCCTGGGCCAGCTCCTCATCTAGTGCTGGAGACCCTTTCCCACAGCTAAAATGAAGCCACAGGGATTTACACATCAGTAGGGAAACCTGGCCCTGAGCACAGAAACCCACACAGGAACCCAGCCACTACCTAATGCTTCAAGGCTTGAGGGGACAAAATTCTGGAGCAGCCCCACATCGGCTGGGAAACAGATGAGATGAACCACATCATTCTTTGCTGTTTCCATTACCCTGACACTGGGCTGCACATTTCAGAAGCTCTGGGGCTGCTTCAGTTTATGCATGAAGGAGCAACAGCTTGGAATAGCCAAATCAGGATGTTTTTCAGCCACGTCCTATATCCTATACAAGAAAACCTCACCATGCTCAAGACATCTCCATCTGTGGAGACTTGGTTGCTTTCCACCCCCTTTAACCACGTCACCCCACAGAAAAACAGCTCCTGGGCTGAGTCCAAGGAGAGCTGTTACCCTGGGCCACTCAGGTGAGGTGGGAGAAGAGAATAGGATGATCCTTCATGGCCTCCTCTAGCAGAAATCTTTTTATTACTTAAAAAAGGCTGAAATCCACTTCATGGAAAGACCTGCATTCCTGTGCTCACCTTCAAAGCAACAACGGAGTTGTAAGGTGCAGACATAACTGTGTGTGGAGCAAAGACCTTGCTGGGTTATCAGCAGCCAGGCTTGAGTTCCCAAGGAGAGCATGGGGAAGGCAAGGAAAAGGGGGTGACCAACACGATGTGAACCCCAAGGTCAGCAGGAGCCCCAGTGTTAGCAACACCCCTTCCCTGCTGAGGGTCAGGTTTGTGCAGCTACGCTGGGCACGCAACACACCCAACTGGAGCCCAGCTTTTTGGGGAAGGGTAACCTTCACCCCCCAGATCTGCTTCCAGCATCCCTCTTGACCAACACAGCGAGGGGAACAAGCCTTGGGGAAAATCCAGCATGTAGTTTCATGCCAGGGACACGGAGGGGGCTGTAAAGGAGAGGAGGGCTCAGCGCCCGCACCCCTCGCACAGCCAGCACCGTGCGAGTGGAGAGCAGGGCTGGGGGCCAAAAGACTTTGGCAAAACTCACCAACTTAATGGAAAAAGCAAAAGCAGCTTCCAAATGGCAGACCTGTGAGAGATGGGGCTGTTAATTATTGCAGGATTTTAGAATGTAGGCTCTTTTTTCCATCCTAATCCTGCAGCGAAAGGGTTGCATAAGCAGCTTGAGTAGCAATAGTAAGGGAAGAGTTTTCTCCTTATATAGAGCTATCAAACCCACCTTTCCTTTATCTCTCTTTCCTCCCACAACCAGCAATTTCCACTTATCAAGAGGCACCCAGTAAAATAATTTCTTTCTATGAATGCCAGGATGAGGATTCCATTGCTACAGTCACTAGGTGAAGAAGTGCCCCTAAATACCTACAGTGTAAGCTCACGTGAACCCCAAAAGTCTTCCAGTGCAGACAAACACCCTTTATAGCAAACTGAAGCTACTGACTGCAGCTTGATTTTAGCTTCACTATGTTTTGTGAGCTCCTGAGATCAAACTGGAAGTAACCAGTGTCAAAAGTACAAGGCAACAGACAACAGAGAGGGACAGAGAAATGCAAAGACCTGTAATAACACTTTACACTTGATAGTGATCTTAGCAGCTTCCCAGTGAGAACCCATGTGCACACAGGTGGCAGCCAAGAATAAACATCCTGAGGAGTTCCAACAAAAAACAACCAGGAGGTCTAGGCACCACTTCTGCTGAGGCTTCAGGACAGGCAGGGTGGTGGTGATGTGCACCAAGGTGGAGACCTGATGAAGTCATGACTGCTAATTAGCCCACAGCAGCAAAGCTCTGCCCTGGGTTTTCAGCCTGCAGACTCATTGCCAGCTTCTGACTGAGCACTGAAAGATCAGACCTGTGGGAGCATCAAGTTGTGACTTGGAGGCTGAAGAAGAGTTACCACCTCACCAGGTGGCTTGTGCACAGCATGTCTTGCTGGGAGCCCCAGTGAAGTCACGTTCAGGGTGGCAACATCAAGAGCAAAAGTCAATGACAAGTCCTGTTGAACGTAGTGGTTCTTACCTGGCAAGCACTGGGATAAAGCACTGCACTCAACTAAGGGACAACAGTAAGACAATAATAGCCTCTGGGACAGACTTGGTCAGGAATTATCCCTCCAAAAAGTGCAAGTCTGACAAAGCTGAAGCAATCTGTAAAGTTGTTGTGATCAGCTAATTCTCCACTTCAATTTCCAGAATCTGTTTGAACCATTTTGGCTTTTTTTTCCATTCAAAGTTTTGCCCCTGCCTTAAAAAAAAAAAAAGTCCAAATGGTTTTGACACATTGTTTGCTTGGGTGATGGGTTGAATCTGAAGAAAATATTACAAAGGCTCAAAGCAGCACTTAAGAATTCTATTTTTCTCCCTCATTTACAGTGGGGAAATGTCTTTGAAATTACAAACCTTCTTGCAGGGTGGAAAAATGAGTCCCCCCCCACTCCACTATTCAGGTGCCTTTTTTTTTTTCCTCCTGTCCAAAGGAGCAGAAAGCCAACTGGGTGCTGCAAACTGCTTTCCAAGAAAGGCAAATTTACATTTCTAGCTTTAAACAAGGGATCATCAAAGCAGAAAATATCCCTGTTGCTCAGGATCCTTTGCACATAGGTGATAGTTTATAAAACACCCGAGCAATTTTGGCAGTGAACAGGAAAGAAAAAAAAATCACAGCCTACATACTGAGGCTTTATGCTGCACCACAGCACTGATTCCACTCCCAGCTCTTTGGGGCAGAAATCTTATTCTTTAACAGTATCATGCTTTGCACAGCAGCTTTCTGCTCTCTTTTTTTGGGCTTCTGGAAATGCTAGTATATTTCCTCTCCCCTTCAGTGTCTGGAGAGAGCAATGGAGAGAACATATCATGTAGGTGTCCCTGCACTGACCCTGCATAGTTCTTTGCTGAACCTTTTCTGCTGTGCAAACCAGTTATTGATTTACATTTCCAGGCAGAGATGTTGTCTGGAGTGCAGAGACACTGTTGCCAAACCTGACATGCTAAGGGGAGAGTTTCTGAAAGGACTGCAATGGTATCAAGTTTTTAATCCCTATTAAGCATCTACATTTTGAGAAGAAAGCAGAGGAACAGATGTGGGCCAGATTGGGTGCATTTCCATGGCATTTAAGATTATTGAGAAATCTAGGAGTGATCTATAAACAGTCAATGTTAAGTGGGGTACAGTGTAATTCCAGTGCACCTCTACAGTGTTAAAAGCTCCCAAAATATATCACCCAGCATCAAGTACATGTAACATCCATAATCCAACCCACTGCTCCTGGGCACACGTTTATCAAACAGGTTTTGCAGCCAAAAGGGGAAAGGGTGAAGTGGGACAGCAGTGTGGCTGCCTGAGCTTTAGCTCTGAGCAGAGCACCAGGAGGAGGGTTTCAAAGACTGTCCCACCATTATTACTGGAGACTCCAGTAGCCCAAATGGGGAAAACCTCTAGGCCAAAAAAACCCTCTAGGCCAGACTCCAACCCATCCTTGGCGTGATCCTGAACAGCAACATCTGAATTTCTCCACCCTGCTCCAGAATTTGGAGCTTGCACACAGAAATTCCCAGGGTTTCTCTGGCACCATTTCAGTCAAATCTAATCTTAATTCAGGATGAAAATGCCCCTAGTGCTGTGTCTGGAGAAGTCTGTGTCAGGCCTTTGACAACTTCCTTTGGAAGAGGCCCCTGGTAGGGCAAGAACATCCCACCAGCCCTGAAGAGAGGGTCACATCCTGGTCACAAAGGTGAGGGACCTCAGCTCCTGGCAATGATACAGCAGTAGGTCTTAAGTGCTGTGAAGATGTTCTAGTTTCCT